AGTATTATTTGTTATTGAGATGGCTGAACATCAACCAATTATTTTTGGTACAATTACTCTGTATAGTCTTTACATTTTCTTGTGATGATTCTTTCATCATTAATATTTTGTTCATAGATCCTTCAAAATTGCATCTTGAAGTTTGAATTTCACTTCAATTATTTATTTTAACTTGAGAAAAGCTTAATGCTTCTTCCTGTTGATTTTCTAAGTTCATCTTTGTACATTTCATCATAAAGCTTTACTTTGTCTTCTTGAACTACCTTTTGAAATTTTCTTTTCAGCTCTTTTATGTCATCATTTCTTCCAGGTGCTTCAGCTTGTCAACATTTAAGAGCATGTTTTAGAGTCTCTTCTGACAACCATGTTGATCTTTTCTTTTTTTCCTGTCTTTTAAACGTCTGTTGTTATTCATTGATGATGTTCTTGTCTTCAGTCACTAATGTCTAATGTATCAAATATGTTCTTGAGATGTTTTCAAAATTCAGGTAGAATATATTCAACATCATATTTTGGCTCTGATAGACTTTGTTTTACATTTCTTCAGCTTCAACCTGAACTTACACATAAGTAATTGAAGGTCTGTTCCACAGTCTGCTCTGGCCTCATTTTAACTGATGATATGTCGTCTCTTTCAACGATGTTGTTGATTTGAATCCTGTGTATCCTATCTAGTGATGTTCTTGTGCACAGTCACAATTTATGTTGTTTTAAGAAGTAATTTCAGTGACTAAGTCATGGGTCTTGCTAAATACTATCATGCAATTTCCAGAATTGTACTCATCATCACCACATTTTCGAACTACAGGTCTTTTTTTTAATCAATTATTTAATGAGGTTCTTTCTTTGCAAGAAATCTAGAATATTAATTTGTGAGGATAAATTCCATTTGTGAGAGCAAACACAGCACGCAGGTAACCTTGGAGCTGGGGAATGGCTTTGATTTTGGGCATAATTTGTGAGTCCACAGCTTTCTGATGCACTTTGTGTTGCTCTGTAACCTCGTATTTCTCTTTCTCTGTGCTGAAGAGCTTGCCTTCTTGTAGCCTGGGCTACTGCAGCATCTTCTTCTTGAAGTAAGCATCCGTGATGTTTGGGGATCTTCACATCACTGATATCAATTTTGGTAGAGGTGACAA